TTTTTTTTTTTTTTTTTTTTTTTTTTTTTTTTCCAGTGCCCTGTGCTCAATCGATAAATAGGACCCGGACCCTATGTCATTTTGAGTGTTCACCATCCACCGGTGACGACCGAGGAGTCAGCTTGGCGGGAGATGAGTGTTGACTTAACGGCACGCGACTGGCGCTATCTGTGAGCCGCGGCACCCGACCCCCGGTGAATCACTTCCAACTAATCTATTAGTAATTATTCCGCGTCTCACAATCAGCGCCGCAGCTTCACACATCGCCAACCGCATCGCCACTTCCGCGTTGCCGTTTCATCCCTCATTCCAACTTTATCATACATTTTTCTCACATGATGCTCAGGAATCTGAATTTTTCTCCTATTCAGACACGCATAAAATACCTATTATCGCAAAATCTGGCAACCTTGTTACGATTTTAGATAACTCTTATGAGTATGCATGAATGGAATACAAATTTGACTCCTTATCTGTTGAAAAATGTATTTATTTAGCGGAACTTTCCATTTCAAATATGAAAATAGCCATATTTAAGACTTGTAATCCAGAATTCCGATGACGTCAAAAGCGTATCCCCCCGGCAAGGCCATCGACGGGTCCAACGGTGGGTTCTTTAATGGAAGCCCCGATGACGTCATTAGCCAAAAATATCCACACGTTCAATTTTTTATATTTATTCTGAATGTGAGTAGGAAGTTCATACTGTTTGGTTAATTTTTTATTTTTAATTTTTTAATGTATGAATATGTCACAGGCAATTATGAAATTAGGCATTTTATCCAATGCCCAAGAGTCAAATGGCCGTTTACCAAATTTTGTAAATATTTGGTGAAGAGCGCACGAGTCCTCGATATTTTGGGAGAAATTAATCAAATCTACGAAACTCTTCTCGTTTCTTTCTACTCAAATGCTTCGGATGTATTTAAATTTTAAAATCTTAGAAATTCTTATTTAACGACATTCTGAAAATTTCAAGAAAAATGTTCGTTCAGGAGCTGAAGATTGTTTAAAATACAATTTTACACTGCATATTTTTACAAAGAATTCTCTCTCATGGGAGCGATACATTATTCTGTCTAAAATTAGGAAAATAATCTGAATTTCAATCTTCGTAAGAATTGGACTATGTACCTAGGCGTTTAACAAAATGCCCAATTTTACTTTTTGCTCACGACACATGCGCTCGTCCAGCCATTCCGCTATTTTCCTTTAAAAATATATTTTTGACCGTTGACACAGGGAGTCGTGATCAAAAACTAACGCCAAAAATTGCGTCTTACCCAAGGCTAGTGCAAGTGCATACCTACACTTTTCCTCATGGAGTTCTCATGTCTCAACCACGACCCACTTTTTTGTTTCATTAATTTTTTTTTTTAATACGGACCAAATAGTGTCAACAACTTTAGACTGAAGAGATCGGTTTTCCATGCAACTTTGGACGAAACTGAAGTTCTCTCATCCGCGCATGCCTCTCAAAATTCTCTCTAGAATGGAATAACGCTTTGAGGCGAGTACTTTTTCGATTGAGCTGTTCCACAAATTCCTCTCAGAGAGGAAAAGAGTGACAAATCAATAGCGGTCTGCACGGAAAGATAACGAAAGTAGTTTACAGGAGGTGGATACGATTAAATTTTACTGCGGAAACGCCTCCTTCCCCTCGCAAAAGGGGTGTTAAAGAACCTTACTCTTTTGTGGGGAGAAACACATTCTGAAGGGCGGAGGGGAGTTAATGATTACTGGGCGGTTCAAATGTCGCAATTGACGGAAATCGGCTTTTGCGGGTAAGATACGTGCCGAATAATTATTCTCATTTTAAATTTTTATGAGAATAAATGTATACAGGCCCGAGTTTTGCGCTTTTTCATTTTTTTCTATCGGTTTTTCGACTTCGGTCTCAAGCGTGAAAGTTATGCACTGGAAAAAAACACATTGGCTCTAGAGTCCAGACTCTTGAAAACATTGACAAGAAAAAATACTCTTGATTCAATCAGATTCAAGCTTAAATCAAGAACCATGCCTCTTAATTTGAGCGGATTTCCTTTTGATTGAAGCTTAAATCTGATTGAATCAAGAGTCCTTTTTCTTGTCAATGTTTTCAAGAGTATGGACTCTAGATCCAATGGGTTTTTTTTCCAGTGTGGGTCACAAAGGTCGGTTTTTTTCCATAGCAGTCCAAGCTCAAAGAACAAGTGCACGATGAGAAAAAGTACCCAATATTTTGTGTTAATATGGGAAGTAGAACACGGAGTTACACAAGAAATCGTTTCATTTTTTTGTGCTAGTTTTACCTGTGTCAAATCGACCAAATCTTCGGGTCGTGGTGACTAAATCATTGAGTTGAAAATCTGCGACCTCGTTAAAAGTAGGCGCAAGCCGCCAGGATCGGATCGTGATGCGCTAAGCCTGTGTCATACTATCAAAATACTCCATCAAAATGTCAAGGTCAAGTGCTGTGATTGGTCCAAATCATCGAATAAGCCAATCACAACACCTGACCTCGATATTTTGATGGCTAGCTTTGATAGTGTGACACAGGCTCTAGTCACTCGCAAGTTGCGACCTCTGAGTATGGGAAGGAAAACATGGGTACATAATTCCGCACGAAACTTTCTTCATGCCCCGATACCTGCACTGGAAAAAAAAAACACATTGGATCTAGAGTCAAGACTCTTGAGAACATTGACAAGAAAAAGGACTCTTGATCCAATCGGATTTAAGCTTAAATCAAAAGGAAATCCGCTCAATTTAAGAGGCTTGGTTCCTAATTTAAGCTTAAATCTGATTGAATCAAGAGTATTTTTTCTTGTCGATGTTTTTAAGAGTCTAGACTCTAGATCCAATGTGTTTTTTTCCAGTGGGGAGAATGTTATGAGCGCCGCCGCCCGCGGCGCACTATGGTCCATAACTCAAGAATTGGAAGAAATAAGTCAGATAATGACTGAAGGACCACGAAAGTTTCGTACCTGATGTTTTTTTGAGTCGCCAATTTCGAATTTGATGTCAAATTGCCTATATTTTAACACCCTGAACTATTAATTGTGGGCAAGTTCATGGCACGCTGCCTGGCGTGCTGCGTGCCGCCGCTATCAGCTCAAAACGCGCTCTGACGCCTACAAACCTAAAGGGATACTTCAAGCATTGCGCAATGCGCACTGACGCCTACAAACCTATAGAGATTTTTTTCCAGTGTGAAAGTACGGTTCGGGTCGACGTAACGCAAAATTGTGTTGAGTAACCAAGTCCTCTGAGTTGATCTAACACAAAAAAGTAACACTGAGTAACTCAAAACACGGTCATTTTTAGCTGTGTGGAAATAGTCTGTAACGCAACTCAATAGTGGTTCCTTATCAAAAAATGTAGTGTCCGAAAATATTCTGTAAGTATTTGCGAGTGCACCACTCATTTTAGGCAGAGGGCAATCGAAAAACCCGACTTGAAAAACTTGTTACATTCATAGGGCACTGGAAAAAAAATCTTGGATCTAGAGTCCAGATCTTAAAAACATTGACAAGAAAAAATACTCTCGATTCAATCAGACTTTTTTCTTGAATCAATAAGAAATCCGCCTAAATCAAGATGCTTGGCTCTTCAATTCAAGGAAAAGTCGGATTGAATCAAGAGTATTTTTTCTTGTCAATGTTTTTAAGAGTCTGGACTCTAGATCCAAGCGTATTTTTTTTCCAGTGGGGGGAAAAAATATAATATTTGGCTTTCAGTTGCAAAAATTGCTAATTTCCATACCTAACCCAATGTTATTGAACATTTTAACATTAGAGGAGAAGGAATTTACGAATATGATACTACGATTATTCAACGCAGGCTGGACTAAATTTTGTAACGAAGATTACTATTAATGTCTCATCTCTAAAAGCACCTACCTGTATGGTTAAACTGATCGAACATACGTTTTTTTTCTAAAAGTAGCTAAAATAATGGTTCGTCATCGCACAAATGAGTTCCATCGCACAAGCCTCGTAGACCGCTCAACGGTTAAAATAAGTCAATACTTCAATTTTTCAACACCCAGGAGAAACTCAGCGAAAGTAAAAAAGCCCATTTTCCCGCATGGATAGCTCTCGTCTCTCACGTAAACATAGTAATTGAGTGAGAAACGCTCAATCATAAAAAACTCAGTACGAGATAATTGGAGAAATGAAACACGATTCGGCTGGGATCGTGTATTAACCTGGCGAAGGGATGTGATGCCTCCCCTTAGAGGGGCGGACCGCGCTCTGCGACGGAGCATTCTCATTGGACACGAATTAAACTCATCCCTGTGGGGTGCACTGCGGGGAGGGGCCTGAAGGGATGCTGTGCGCATCTCGGGGTAGTGTTCATCAATCGTTGCTCGTCTTGGCGACCAACTCTAGCCTAGAAATATTCGCGGATCGCTTTACTGTTCTTATTGGTTCAATTAAAAATTGTGAGTCTGACCTTGTGCAATGTTTTAGATGATTGTTTTTGTTTCAAACAATTTTGCTGTGGTGCCTCCAAGAAATCTGTTGTGACGTTGCGAAGTGCGAAATTTTTTCTGAAACTGTCGACCCCATTTTTACCGACATATTGACTAGCTTTATCGGTGCTGTTGTCAATTTATTACAGTTTTACTACCTAAATTATATTATAGTTTTACTCTATTTTTCAAAAAATATTACCTCTGATTTCACGGTTTTATCAAATTTATCATGCGATTGTAATCGGTGAAAGAAAGTTACACCAATTAACAAACAGAAATTTCGCGTTGTTTTGTTTGTACTCGTTTTTCCCCCTCAATATTCCGGGTATTTTTTTTAACTGTTTGTTTCACAACTTATTCGGTCGAACAATTTTCGAGAGAAGTCTTCGAAAGTTTTACATAAAAAGCTTTTTTATCTCTTCCCTAACAAAATACTAAAGAAAATAAAGTGTTCACTTAAATTTCGCTTGTTTTTTCCCGTGATCCTTGGGCAATTTTAACATCATCGATTGTAAATTTAATAAATAATTTTGGTTTTCGATCTTAAGTATTGATATAAGTGATGTGCGGCACAAATAAATTGGGCTCCGATCAAAGGTGTGTTGATGGATTGAAAAGACTGTGTCTGTGCTCTTCAAATATTATGGATTTGCCATGAACGACAGGTTTCTGCCACACCGTCAATGGTAAGTCTCATTTTTTTAATGCAGTTTAATGAGATTACAATAAACTGACTAGAATCATAAGGATACATGAATAAAATATGACAACCAAACCTGCGATATGTAAAATTGTATACATCTAGGCCGACTTTTAGTAATTTTTTCCCATTATTCATTTCATTATCGAGGAATCACTCTACTGAGCGTGGCATATAAAATATTATCCTCCCTGATAAATGAGAGACTCAAGACAATTGTTGAGAAGGGAATCGGCGAATACCAGTGTGGATTTAGAACAGGGAGAGGCACATCAGACCAACTCTTTGTAATCAGACAAGTCATGGAAAAGTGTTATGAATACGGAATAGATCTCCATCTGCTGTTTGTCGATTTTAAAGAAGCTTTCGACAGCGTAAACAGGAAGGAACTGGAAAAAGCCCTGAAGGAACTACAAGTACCAGAAAAACTCATTCGACTGGGAATAATGACTATGAGTGATACAAAGGCGAAGGTGAAGATTGGGAACAACAAGAGTGAAGTATTCGATTTTAATATAGGTGTAAAACAGGGAGATGGACTATCAGGCACCCTTTTCCTGGTGGCATTGCATCTAGCTGTAAAACATATCGATCAAAGGGGAACAATATTCAACAAGTCCAGCCAGATATGCGCATATGCAGACGATATAGCGCTAATAGCACGCACGAAAGAGAAATTAATTGAAATATACAAGGAATCAGAGAAGAGAGCCAAAAACTTGGGCCTGATAGTGAATGTCAGCAAGACCAAGTATATGGTATTGTCAAAATCAGAAGTGAGAAGAAAACCATGCAGTCTGTTCATAGACCAGAAGGAATTTGAAGGCGTCGAAAAATTCAAGTATCTTGGCAATTTGTTGGATAATGAAGCAAAAACAACGACAGCAATTAAAGACAGGATGCAGGCTGGAAACCGAGCCTATTACGCAAACCTGAAGATGCTAAAGAGCAAACTGTTGTCCAGGAGAACGAAGATGCAAATTTACAAAACGTTAATAAGACCAGTAGTAACGTATGGTGGTGAAACCTGGACCATGACAGAAGGAGACCAGCACATGCTGAGGCGATTTGAACGGAAAATCATACGAAGAATTTATGGAGCGGTGAAAATCAATGAAGAATGACGAATTAGAAGCAACCAAGAAATAGAAATGATACTAGAAAATGAAGATATTGTAAGGTTTATCAAATCGCAAAGGATAAGCTGGCTTGGCCATGTACAAAGAATGGAAGAAGAAAGGATGCCGAAGAAGGTGCTGAAAGCTAAAATATTGTCAGCAAGAAAGAGAGGAAGACCTGGTGGCTAGACGGAGTTGAGCAAGACTTGAAGAAAATGCAAATAAAAGGATGGAGTGGAAAAATCAAAGATAGAGGGATGTGGAGAGAAATTGTTATGGAGGCCAAAGCCCACCCAGGGCTGTAGCGCCGTTAGTAAGTAAGTAAGTAAGTATTTATTTCATTATTTTCCTGGGAAACTTCAGTGATATGTGCTCCATAATATGAGTGCAAAATGTACGTATTTATGCCGAAAGAAACTGCATGCGGAAATTAATTCAATAAAAAATAAAAAATAAATGATAAATTTTAAATGAATGAAAAAATAACTTACCTAAGAATTGTGTGCTTCACAACTCTTTTTGATCAAATTTATGCGAACATGTTCTTCTTATTATTAATATGTCCAAATTATCTCTGAAAATTGAAGAAATTATAGCCAAAGAAATCAAAATAAAAACTCTGATTGGTTTTCCTGTAAAAAAAGTAACGGAGGAAGCAGGAAATTCTCGTAACATCAAAATTACTGTGAGATGTTTTGCATCAAGGACATGTTTTTCAATATGCCATTAGTTGCATTATTTTATGCCGATTATTTTACGGAGCGCATTCACTCGAACATATTCTACTCACATCGGGAGATCGTTTGAGACATTTGTGTGAGGGGCATTTCACTCGAGGAATAGAATTAGGGGGATGATTTTCATAAAACGATCAACATTTTTATAAACAGTATAAGCTGTTGTATTAAAAATGTTGATTAGTTTAAAAAAACTCACGCTTTCACTGGTGCTGATTATTTATCGGACGCGTTTCGGTGGCTACCCGGGCCACCATCATCAGCAGCTGACTGAGAGTCAGCTGATCAAAAGATTTAAGTAGGAGGATGATTGCACAGAATTCGATGTAATGAAGCGCTTTGCCCTAAGTGACCAAACTAAAAGACTTAAAAACTTGAATATATTTCCAAGATATATACGGCTTTTGTCGATAGGATGATGCAAATATAAAGTTTTCCCTTTTTTCTGCACAATGAGATTTTTTTTTCCAAACGTGTGAGCTGGACTTCTGGTTACCCCACCTAGGATGACCCTAGGTGGACCCTAGGTGGATCTGTGATCTAGTTAGAATTTGTATACATCCGTATGTTTATCAAACTGGAGCAAAGTGACGAATAGATATTTGGAGTTTGCAAAATTTCATCTGCACATAATTTTCGTTCACAAAAACAAAACAAAAAATATTACGGATTTTTTTCTTTCTAATCAGGCATTTTTAAAATAGAGTTCAAATTAAGTTCTGTGAATAATCTAATTAAAGTATGATGCACAAAATTGAAAAAAAAAGGGTTCATCTGAAAAAATTGAAAACGTCTGGACGTATATGATGTTTATCATAATCACAGCAGACTTGCTGCGATGCTTACTTTTTAGCCGCGTTCTTTAATACCGCCCGGCACAATCTTGTGCCTTCAATTCATGAAGTAGGCAGTTAAGGGTCCTCAGGAGCAACAATTGTCATATTCTCACTCCTAACCCAAGAATTAATGCAAGTCCAATCAAGGCTCTTTATGTAATATGTTTTAGGCACTGAAGATGCGTGCAATGAGATTTCAATGTCAGCTGCCAATCACTGCTGATTTCAATCATGACGCGAATTTACAAATTTTAAATGTGCTCATTGTGTTCAGAGATAATTACAGATAAGTTCCTGTCCAAAAACATGGACCCTGGTCCAGATAAACTTACTTTTGAGTAAATGATGCGAGAACAAAAAGTTATTATTTACTCAAGTAAAGTAATTAGAAGTTATTTTACTCGCTACATATGAACGAGACGCCGCCTCTTTCATGTTTGCATGTCAGAAAACTGGCCTCCTGGCATGCAAACAGGGAAGGATCAGTGTCTCGTTAAGATCTCATAAGCGCCAGTTCCAATGTTTTGTTCTAATTTTGGCTCTCTGAGAGAGTTTTCTCCTGGAAGAATATTTCTCTTCTTACATATCCGCTTTTCATCGTCAAAGCTATCACTCAGCGCTTTCCAAATCTTTTCTACATACAATTAAGTCGCCCTATAGCACCCCCTGGCGCTCTACGACACCTAACCTCCACTGCCCCCTGTCGAACCACAACCTCTCGGGTATTGAGCAACTTAACACTCCTGCTTCAATCCCATACCTCCAACCTCCCATTGGGCACCCTCTGTGCCTTTCTCCCAGGGGGAACCTAATCAAGGACCTTCTTTTGTAACCTGTCTCCTGCCATTCTCTATTCATGACCATACCAAATGCATTGTTTCGTTATGATAAGCGAATTTTCGCGATCGCATATCATTCACCGTAGAATGATACTCGGCAATTGTGCATTTTTTTAAATGATATTCGACTTTTTCGTTGATCTCACCGCAGACCGTTGAAATCCATCAATTTGAAATTTCGAATTTTACCTCGGCATTCGAATTCAATTTTTTGAATTGATCCCTGGTAAAAATTGGCAGTAGAATCTGTGCTCCAAAATACCATAGATCTACAGCCGGCTGTAAGATTTCCAATAGCTTCTATAGTCGGCTACACAATTTCTTATAGCCTTTTAAAGCCGATGACGACTAAGCAACAGCCAACCTTTTTTGTGCTAAACCGTTTAGCATCCGTAATTAGTAACGTTTAGCCTAAACGTTACTAATTACGGATGCTAGGACTTAGTGAGTTTTTGGACTACTGCTCTCTTTTTGGGCCGTAGTATCTTGATTTATTTTGCGAGGAAAGCTCCGTACTTTTGATATATGCCTGCCATTCCTAATATATTAGAGCGCCTTCAGTTTCGTATGATACTGTGCAATACCTCTGGTGTGAAATAGTTGCTTCAAACGCCGTGGCACGCCTCGCGTTGCGCAATGCATGAAGTATCCCTGTTAGGTTTGTAGGCGCCATGCCAGTGCGTCGCCGCTCCGCTTTGTGTTAGGCTCTAATATTTCATCTGGCGGAGTCAGCGGTATTCAACTCATGATTTTGAAATGTTTGCACATCCTGTATGGATTATTCTCATTTTAATTGATGAAAAAAATATGCATTAAAGGAAAATATAATGTGTGTTTTGTAAATATTAAGGTGGCTCCGTATCAAACTTAATGATTTCCAGAGCACACGAATTTCTACACAATTTATTATAGACTTTTATAATCGATGGCGAAAAAGCAACAGCCAGGCAATAAAGTGTAAAGCCCGGCGATAGGAACTACAGCCCGGCTGCATAATTTTTTATCGCTCCGTATAGCCCGGCCGTATGATTTTCTCCGCATTCTACAGCCAGCTATATGATTTTCTGTAGCCTTCTTTAACCGGCTATAAGAATTCCTATGGTATTTTGAAACGCAGCTCTTATCGCCAATTTTTACCAGGGATGCTATCGATGTCAGAAACGTCATCTTTCTCCAGATTTTTTGTCTCGCTACTTCTTTCTGTTGTTAGGTTTTGTCAATTCAAGTCCGCTGGATTCATAATTTGCTGCGTTTCAGTGTTTCGTATTTCCGTATTGTCTTCTTAATTTCATTTAAAAACAATCTGAACTCTGATTGGCTCCTGCTTTCACCGATCATCGGCATCTCTCAGCACTCATCAATTCGTTGGATGAATGATATTCGTTCGCGAAAATTCGCTTATTGTTATGCACAATGGTCTGTTTGGCATTCATGATCTCGGCCGTACCGTTCCATTCCAATCATTCTCCATTCCAATTCCAAATACTTCTAAATTTCCATTCCAAAACTTTTCTAACTACTAACTAACAAGTCAATCTGAAGCCGTGGATAGACGATCAAATTCCCGAACCAATTCCGATCAAAGTAGCATCAAAGTGTCGGAAGTCATCAGTCTTAAACTCATTAATTTGCTTAATTTTAAAATGAAAACTTGGCAGAAATGTTTCCTTTGGCAGGAAATGATGAATGGTGGCACTCCGTTCTGATCTTGCTTTGAACAAAAAAGTGCGGCCCGTCAAAATTTGATGGTAGATGGTGACCACCAGTCATCAGCATGTCTACTATGATCAGAATTGGTTCGGAATTTGATCGTCTATCCAGGGCTTTATAGCTTTTTTGTGCGCTCTGCGACACCCAACCGCCACTGATAGCGATCCTCCTAGAGTTCCTCCGGCAGATCGCATCTCCTCATTTCCCGCCTTATTCCATCAATCAACGATTTGGCAGGGCGTCCTCTACGCTTTCTGCCGGGGGGTCCCAATCCAGAACCTTCTTAGGCAGCCTATCATCTGGCATCCGTTGCACATGACCATACCAGACAAGCTGTTTTGTGAAAATGTCATGCACTATGTTGTTTTCTGCGCTCATAATTGGGCCGAGTTTAACAGAAAGGAACCAAGCCATATCAGCTATTGCTAAGTTTAACTGGACAATTAAATTTTTTACGAGAGAACGTCTGCTCGGATTTCTTTGAAAATTTTAAGGAATTTGCTTCGTACCGTGGAGAATTTTTACTGAAATTTGCACGAAAATCCGCACAGCCGTTTTCATGTAAAAAAATTAAATTTGGCAATAGCTGATCTGCCGTGCTAAGGAAAAACGCCGTACGAACCTTCAGGTGTTGCCAAATTTACTTTTGTAAATCAAGAATTTTCTGGATAATTTGTGAATATTTTTCCTTCAATTTTTCAGATAATTTTGTTAGCATTTTCACCTAAAGTTCCTGAAAATTTTAAGAAAAAATATTCCCGACTTTCTTTCAGAATAACTCTTTCTTGAGAGGAGATTTGGCAACTCTCGAATGTTCATACGGCTTTCTTCCTTAGCACGGCAGTGATGTGGCTTGGTTATTTTCTGTTTAACGCGGTCCAATTTCACGTATCCTCTCATTTCTTCCAAAACTTTTCTCAATTTGTAAAACGTTTTGGGTTTGGTTTTCAGCCAGTGATCGCGTCACGCCGGCCGGGAGTCTGCCGCTGGATGTCACGCTCGGGGGACGCGACCGACCAGTCCTCGACGCCCTCGCCGCCGCCCTCCCCGTCGCCGCCCCTCTCCCCCACCCCCTCCTCGGCCTCCCCGCGCCCCCGCCCCCCGGGGGGCGCCCTCTCGGAGGACGAGCTCGTCTCGGACCTCTCCTCGGAGGCGGAGGAGGCGGCGGCGGCGGCGGCGGCGGCCCTGGGCGGCGCCCACCTCCCTGCGGCCCCGCGGAAGGTGTTCACCAACAGCCGGGAGCGGTGGCGGCAGCAGAACGTGAGCGGGGCCTTCGGGGAGCTCCGCAACCTCGTCCCGACGCACCCGCCCGACAAGAAGCTCTCCAAGAATGAGATACTCCGCATGGCTATCAAGTAAGTCCGAATCCGGAGCTCAAAGGACAAAGCGCATAAGTGCCTTTTTTCCTATTTTCAGAAATACGTCTTCCGAGTTTCGAAATGGAGGATGGAGAATTTGCACATAGACATTGTATTGCTTCATCTAAGAGTGCTTAGTGAGCTGATTTCACAGTATTTTTTGTAATTTTTTTCTGAAATGGGAAATCGGATGAAAATAGATTAAATAGTGAGAAAATTTGCCGTCTTGTGACGTCATCTGGCAGCATTTTCCATTCAAACGCGTGTATTTTAGTAGATAAGATCATTTTTTCAGATCTCCTCCAATAATCGTTCAATTAATGAACCAGGATATCCTCGTATACAGCTCTCTTGGTAGCGTCCATTCAAACACGAAATTCATCAAATTTCAGACACCTGCAAATAAAGAAATCAGGAGCTCAAAGGACAAGACGCACTGGAAAAAAACCACATTGGATCTAGAGTCCAGACTCTTGAAAACATCGACAAGAAAAAATACTCTTGTATTGATTCAATCAGAATCTTGCTTAAATCAAGAACCAAGCCTCTTAATTTGAGCGGCTTTCGTTTTGATTCAAGCAAGAATCCGATTGAATCCTATTTCTGTCCTATTTCTATCCAAAAATCCTATTTTCGGGGAAAGCTATGAACGGTTTTCCTTGGAGTCATCAGAAACTTTAGGTGAAATTGCAAAAAAAATTATGTGAAAAATTGGAAGAAAAATATTGACAAATTTTCCCGGGAATTCGGGATTTGCCAGAGGAAATTTGGCAACGCCTGAAGGTTCATACGGCATTCTTTTTTAGCACGGCAGAACTGCACTTAAATGCACTGGGAAAAAAACCACATTGGATCTAGAGTCCAGACTCTTGAAAACATTGACAAGGAAAGATACTCTTGATTCAATCGGATTTTTGCTTGAATCAAAGCGAAAGCCGCTTAAATTAAGACGCTTGGTTCTTGATCGAAGCAAGATTCTGATTGAATCAAGAGTACTTTTTCTTGTCGATGTTTTTAAGAGTCTGAAGTCTGGATCCAATGTGGTTTTTTTTTCCTGTGCGTATAAGCGCAGTTCTGCCGTGCGAAAGAAGAACGCCGTACAAACCTTCAGGCGTCGCCAAATTTCCTCTGGTAAATCCCGAATTCTCAGGAAAATTTGTCAATATTTTCCTTCCAATTTTTCACATAATTTTTTTTTTCGCAATTTCACCTAAAGTTTCTGATGGCTTCAGGGAAAAACGTGCATAGCTTTCCTCAAAAATAAACATTCCATCAAAGGAAATTTGGCAACTCTCGAATGTTCATACGGCGTTTTTCCTTAGCACGGCAGAGTTTTTCCTATTTTCAGAAATACGTGTTCCGAGTTTCGAAATGGAAAATTTGCAGCTGTCTGAAATTTGATGAAATCCGTGTTGTGGGCTAAACACGAGTATACTCTTGGTTCATAAATTGAACAATTATTGGAGGAGATACGACAAAATTACCGAATCTGCTAAAATACATGCGTTAAAAGGGAAATGCCGCCAGCTGACGTCACTAGGCGGTGCATTTTCTCCTTTTTAAATCTATTTTTACACTATTTCCCATAGCCGAAAAAAATTATAAAAAATACTCCAAAATCAGCTCTTTAGGCACTTTCAGATGAAGCAATGAAAAAATTACGTGCAAATTCTTCATTACATGGATCCAAATGGGGGAGAAAAGTTCAGACTGACTTTTTGATGCTTGAAAATTGGAATTTGGGATCGAATTGCTCTCAGAATATATATTAAGACAAATTTTGCCTAAAATCATAAATATCTCAATTTTTTTCAAAAACTGCACGTATGCGGCTTGTCCTCCTAGCCCCTCAAATCACGTTTTAGCGGCTCTGGTGCTTGCACTAGAGCTGCTATTCCGGACGGTCCTAGCTGGGGAGTATCATTGGACCATGTTACATTGGAGAGACCGCGCGTTGGTTAATGGGAATCGGCGCCATTTTCGGCTATGTTCCTTGTGATGACTTTATTTTATTGCATATTGTTTTATTGTTAGCCAATGCTATGTTGTGTAGTGTATTTTTGGAATCATGGTGATACAGTCAATAATTCAAAACTTGTCTGTGCTTTAATCTCGTGATGGAAAAAATGTACTTTACGTTCAAAATTTGAAAATTTGAATTTTAAAGTTTTCGCGGTTAAGGAAGCTCCAACCACTGGGTTGGAGCTTCCTAGTCATATTACTCGATATCAGCTGATAGCAAACAAAGGTTACCAAGGAAACCGTAAACGTCTAATGCCGTCTGCCCACGTAGCAAATGGGAGGCGAAAATGGAAGTCATCAGTGCATCGTTGAGTGTTGACGCCCGATCCCATTTTCAGACATGTTCACACGTTTTGCTTGCAAAGAAAAAAGGCGGCAAATCAATTTTTATTATTGGACCAATGAGTGTTCTCCAATTTGAGTTTGTAAACATCGTGGTTTCTAGGTTAGGTTTTTGGTTGTGTGATAAATGATATTATGCCGTCTTTGATTTTGTTAAAATGACTCGATATATGTTATTTGATAAACGATTTGAGTTTTGATAAAGTAAGTTGATTTGAATTAAAAATTGTGTCCTTAAAAAATGGATGATGAGGTGATTTGGTTAACATGGGCATTTGTGGTACTTGCGGCGTATTGGGAGTTTGTATGGAAACGACGTGGCAGTAGTCCACACTTTTTACAAGAAACTATTTTGTACAAAGTTCTGTACAAATTTTACACTATTTATACAGTAATATAATACAAAAAAATTATGTACTTTATCACAACTCACATAGCTTCAAAACAAGATAGAAAATGATGGATGCTCAGCCCCGACACATCGATGATCGCGAAATTTGCGCGGCCCGCGCAATTTTCACGTTCAACACTCACCGATGCACTGATGACTTCCATTTTCGCCTCCCATTTGCTACGTGGGCAGACGGCACACAACTACCGTGGCCATCGGGGCGATTATTGAAATGACATCGACTCTATGTCGCCGCTTACGACAAGACATATAGCCCTATCTTAACCGTGTAATATATCGCAATTCGATATTCAAAACCATTACCTACAATTTCAGATATAAAAATGCAAATTTTTTGCAGCCTCGCTAAACGACTTATCAACCATGCATTCCAAAGTTTCTTATCACAGGGCTGTGAAAATATACAATCTAATAAATACAAAATAACCAAATATCTAAAAAGACAAAATTTCAGTTACAATCAGTTTCAGTCTTATTGTTGCACAAACTAGTTATTTGACAAAAAAAGAAGATGATCACTCAATTGAAAGAAATTGGCGCCCAATCACAACGACAAGTTAAAAAAAATACTGTGGGAGAAATTTTTTAGGATGCGGACCTCCAAAGAGCCTTCAAAATTAAAAGTATACAACAAGTGATAGTGCCATGCATTCTGCATATCAAGGGCCAATACACATTTATACACCGGCTACGTAAATCTGCTAAGTTACAAAACATGAATCGACAGTTGTCGGATTGTACATCTGTGACAAAATGTGTCTAGGCCCTCATTCTTGATTACAACTACTGTCGCCAGAGCCGCTCTCCGACGCGAATGCGTTGGAGCTTCCTGCTTGTTTTTAAAGTTGAAAGTGGTGCGGTTGCATATGGCTTGAAGTATGTCGAAAACACGGTGCGGGTCGCATTAACTGGATGGAGTCCCTATAGGGAGACTGCGGACATGTCGAAATATGGAAATCTGGAGTCTAACAGTGGGCTGATTATTGAAATTGATAGACAAAGCTATAGGGAAAGGGATATGGAGGGAGCCTATTGGAGGAAGCGGGTGGTTGCAATGGACAAAGGAAGGATAGGTAATATTCTCGATGATTTTCCCCTCCTTGGTATGTATTCATATCAGGCAATATTAAAATCCCTGATTTTAATTTAATTTCGGTAACGAGTGATTCATGGATCGACAACGAGACTCAGAACCCGTGTATCTCGATTATGGCATCTTAAAGTGATTGCGCTCGAAAGCAGCGGGTCTATTATTGAAATTTATAAAGAAAGCTAGAGACAAAGATGACAAAAGGGATATGGAGGCATTCTATTTGTGGAAGCAGGTGGTCGCAATGGACGAAGAAGGTAGGTAATAGACTAAACTGACGGCAACTCACGAGAGTCTCAGTGGTACCTACATCATTTTCTCCCTTAGTCTCCAGAAACCACTCATTTCAACCGCTATGTAGGATCGTTCCATTTTCCATATGCCTTCTTTGTCTAACGTTTTGTCCATAAATGTTAATAATCAGCCCGCTTGGCTGATCATTGAAATTTATAGACAAAGCTATAGGCAAATGAGACGGAGAGAAAATGAAGCAATCCCACTGGATGGAAAAGGGTGCTTGTTGCACGGAAAAAAATTAAATGTTGATTTAGCATCTATACTGTTAAAAAAATGTCCGACAAGTTTCAAATGCTGATTTTACAATACAAAAATGCTAACATAACATTTTAATTTGTACGTTTTGCAGCAGGCGTAGTTACGTTAGCATTTGTTAAAATGTAAAATCAGCATTTGAAACTTGTCGGACATCTTTTTAACAGTATAAATGCGAAATCAACATTTAATTTCTTTCCGTGTGAGGGAATGATGGACCAAATACAGGGTCTCTGTGAGTTGCTATTAGTTAGTCTATTACCCTATTTTCCGTAGCAACCACCCGCACAAAAAGGATCGTTCCATTTTGCCCTTGTCTTTCTTTGCCCATCGCTTTAATCACTTTCAGTATTCAGCTCGCGGATATTCTTCATGTGTCATCGTCTTTAAATATGTCATAGAGTTTGTCGAAATAAAGAGCTTGTAGGGCCCAAAAGAGCAGGTAACCCTCTAACAAAAATGTCGCCATCAATCACATATTCCAATATCAAACCGAGATGATCAAGAATGTTCTTAAATAAGCGTTCTTCCGCAAAAATGAGTAAACACATGCAAAAACTTAGAAAAAATCGTGCTTTG